CGGGGCTCAGACCTACCACTTTCACCAACCACACCTTATGGAGGGGAAGCGGTAGGCTCAAGCTAGCACAACCTGCCATTCACAGTAGACCTAAGCACAGTTGCCCGATACCGTGGGGCGTTCACACAACCGGTCAATGTCTGTTCACACAATACTGATTTCTGGATCTTGTATAACCTGTTTGGTTCCCCAAACTACTGCAGCACTGAAATGCAGAGCACTTCCAGAGACAAGCACACCCAGCTGCTGGCAGCAATTCCCTCTCTCCCCCTCCCCCACAGTAAGAAGCAAATCTCGCCTCCATCTACCAATCTATCCTCAAACAAGATACTACTGCAGACATCCAATTCGCGGTTCTTCTCGTTCACGTTGTCGGGCAACCTCGTAAAAGAGCCAAGAACCATTTTGCACATCATGAACAATCCCGGCTTGGAGCTTTCACTGGCCCCCATCCAAGCATGTCCAGTTCAGGGCCTGGAATTCATGCGATGGCGCAGTCGGCGACTCTAGGGTCTATGTTGTGCGCGACAGCAGAAGGGTGGGAACACCCACTCATCTGCCTTGTGGGTATACAATAGCTAAAAATATAGCTACACGCCTGGTGCCGGGATATGGGCAGCGGCTTTCCTTAAGCCGCTAGTACACGGCCCCAGCCCTGCAGAAAGTTTTTGTCACCACAAGCAAATCGCAGAGGCGCCGCACCGCCAGGCCCGCCATTGTAAAAAAAAAATGGCGGCCTCTGAAGTGGTGCGGGTTTCATGCTGACACCCGCGGGCCGATATGTGGTGTACTGGTGCTTTAAGAGTAGGACGCAGCTTCTCACCTCAAATCCACGTGTAAACGTGTGTTTGCTGGTGCCTGTGTGTGTTGTCATGTTCGCTATACACAACACCACAAGAAAAAGCACGACTGTGCCAGACTGCTTCGTCAGACTTTCACCACCTCATCACGAGGTTGTGTGTGCGAGGTGTGTGCATGTGTGCGCGCATGTGTGTGTGTGTGTGTGTGTGTGTGTGTGTGTGTGTGTGTGTGTGTGTGTGTGTGTGTGTGT